ATTTGCACTGTTGAAATATTTGTACCTGTAAATAACTTGTATTTTATGTGGCTTACAAGTAATATATGTAAAAATATACATTGTTTTATACTTGTTTTATATTTTTGTAGCAACAGTTTCTAATGAAATTTCCCTGCAAAAGCAAAAAATAGTAATAAATGCAGTGGTAATTGTCCAGATCATTTGGTTCATTTAACTAAACCATTGCTAGGGCATTCTCAGATGATGGCACACTGATGTGTGGTGTGTGTGTGAGAGTAAAAAGGTACAACTTTAGTTGTAACATTCTGATACTGAATAAAGTCTCTGGGCACATCACCTCTGATTTTGGCCCACTGAATCCAAGGGTGTATAAGGACTGGAAAAAGTGCAGCAGAATCGTGTAGAAATGCCAGGCTTATTAGGCCACACCCTACTTATAAAATATAATATATGGAGATATACCTATCTCATAGAACTGGAAGGGACCCTGAAAGGTCATTGAGTCCAGCCCCCTGCCTTCACTAGCAGGACCAAGTACTGATTTTGCCCCAGATCCCTGAGTGGCCCCCTCAAGGATTGAACTCACAACTCTGGGTTTAGCAGGCCAATGCTCAAACCACTGAGCTATCCCTCCCCTCCTCTAACTTGCATGCTGAGAAGCTGAAAAAAATTCAAGTTACACCTACTTATGATCATTGTCTAATTTATACTTCCTTTGGGTATAGATCACCTCTGCATTTGGCCTAGTACTATGGTGAATTCTTAGATTTACAGAATTTTTTTCCCCACATAGTAAGTACTATGCCAGTTATTTTACATTGTAAATGCTGTTGTAGTTCAAAGTATAGCTACATGTAGTTTTTTCCCTAATTCAGACAAAATTTCAAGAATTTTTATCATGTACTGGGATGGTGTGGTCTAAGAATCAGCTATGTAAGTGGAGTCAACCAAAGAGCTCAAGTTTCTCTGCTTAATTTATTTTAAATCTAAACATACTTCTGTAGTGTCATTTTAATTCTAGCTAGCTTCCTAGGCAAAATGAATTAGTACAGATAAGCAAAAAATACAGCAACACTATTTTTAATAAGGGTCAAAGATCCTTGAAAAAGTATAAATACTCAAATATTACATGTTTTAGAGCAGAGAGAATCTACTGGTCACACTTTCTGCATTGTAACTAGAAAATGCAGAAAGTGTCTAAAGTGAAGTCTCTTTCTAAAGCAGGTAATATCTCAAATAATAAAGCTGTTAGAGAAGAATGTCTTACACTTAAATTAGCTATTGCCACTGTGGAAAAGTGTATATTTGATATCTCAGATCAGTGTCAGTATAAGGAAGGATTATTGTTGGTTGTGGAATTTGTAATTAATTAAATTAGTTACACTATTAATTCAACTGGTGGAAGGTGCCATTGGCCTAATATACTAACCTCCTCTCCATCAAAACTGAGCTTGCTCATGGTTGGTTCATGTCACGAAACTAGCAGTCTTTTAGGCCTGACCTCTCTAACAAGCAGTTGTGGAGCAGAACAAAATGGAGAAAGCTGGCAGGATTGCATCTGCCCTGACTATGTTGTATTGGTAGGCTTGTATATACCCCCAGTCAGTCACATATTCACCTGAAAATGTCATACTTTTTTTTTTTTTTTGCAGGGGGTGCGTGGGTGGGGTTAGACGCTTCAAACCTTCACATCTAAACAGTCTTAAAGCTCATAATGAAACAGTGTGGTTGGCCAGTCTTGGAAGGGTGAGGGGGATACATGGTGATAAAGGGTCCTAAAAGATTGGCAATCTGAAATTTGTCCCAATATTAATAAAAGCAAACATTTTTCAACTTTCACTTAAGTTAGCCAATATGCACATGCATTACTTGAAAACTTGTTTGTGAAATATTCAAATTTTGTGGGTTATTCTGTAAGATGTCTATCAGTTGTGATGAAATTACAGTATCTTCGAGTGCTTATGTAGTTTACAAGTATAATTCTTATTTATTTGTGTACTCTTGTTACCCAGCTGCTTTTTGAAAATCCCACCCTTATTGCACATCCACCACAGGGAGATTACGACTTATTAATCAATATGGAGAAGCTGTAGGAAAGATATGTAGGTACTCTTCCATCTTTCTCACAATCTACATATGTAAACAGTCAGATAATTGGTCTTTGGATTTTACTTTCATTTAAATGGCTTTGAACAGTTTTGCTGACCTGGGAAGCCAAGCACCGAACTGATATTCCTCAGTGAAGGATGTCTGGCTGCCTTAGAGCTTTATACATCTACACTGTCCTTCAAAACCTGTAACTAACTATCATCTTTTAAATAAATGAATATAGTTGACATTGGTGAATGGCAAAACAGAACCAATTAGCCTTTTGATTAAAAGATGTATGCAGGGGCCTTTGTGCTCTAGAGAATGGGTTTTAATCATCTGATATTTATCTATTAATAAGCTTTACTTTTAAAGCATTAATTTTTTGGTTAACTAAAGCAGGGGTCGGCAACCTTTCAGAAGTGGTGTGCCGAGTCTCCATTTATTCACTCTAATTTAAGATTTTGCGTACCAGTAATACATTTTAATGTTTTTAGAAGGTCTTTCTATGTCTATAATATATAACTAAACTATTGTTGTATGTAAAGTAAAGTTTTTAAAATGTTTTTAAGAAGCTTCATTTAAAATTAAATTAAAATGCAGAGCCCCCTGGACCAGTGGCCAGGACCCGGGCAGTGTGAGTGCTACTGAAAATCAGTTCATGTGCTGCCTTCGGCACGAGTGCCATAGGTTGCCTACCCCTGCTCTAAAGCAATTCCTTTCACTGTAAAAAGGAATTTTAAGTTACTCACTCGTTCAATGTGCAAATCTTTCAGAATTATTTATGATATCGTGAAACAAAAACAAGACCTTTGTGATTTAAATTGCTAGGAATACTACCTTTCTATTAAATATTGCAAAACACTTAAGTTTACCATTTCTGCATATTAGGAAATGCACTTTTCAACACACAGCCTACCTCCCTGTATCATTGCAACTTACCTTTTTGTCCTGAAAAATTCTCATAACTAGTAGTAGCATCTGTTTTAGATCAAGTTAAGTGTCAAATTAACTGCAGATAGTGCAATATCCCTCTTCATCTTCTTGTATTGTTCAATTCTCCTTTTAGTAGTAAATTTATTGGGAATACAGGAAGCTTTTGTATGTACTAGGTGGGGACTTCACATCTACAAATCCCAGGCATTAAGATTAAATCAAGTCTCATTTCTGCTTAAATTTTTTTTTTTTTTTTTTTTTTTACTCACTTTATTCCAAGTTTCAGTCCTGTTAAACAATCTGTTCTTGATGATTGAAAGTGGAAAGATGACATTACTTAACCTGTGCTGCTTCTGAAGTCTCTGCTTCTCAGGTCAAAGCAACCTTTGAGATGCCCTGTTACTATTCAAGACCACAAATGGCTAACATACCTTTCTGATAGGTCAGCTAAACTCTGTAGCATAAGATTTACAATACTTAAAGCCACAGCAGCTTTCACGTTAGACAGCATTTATAATAGTAAAATGTAGACATGTCTGCCATTCCAGTAGAAAATTTACTAAAAGTGGAGAATAATGCTTATCCTATTTCCTCAATGCTGTTATTAAAATAAATAGATCATATGCTATACACTTATGGTAGTATCCAGCTTTGGGCATATGTATGATCAACCTGTGATAAGAGTAGAACAGCATCCTGAGAGGGGTTAGTGGTGCAATTGAAACTGGATGTTGCATTTTTTTGCTAGAAAAAAAATCCAACTATCTATGCACAAGTAGGTAACACAGGATAGATAAGTAAGTCTGCTAGGTGAGGAATGCATAGAACATAATAGGCCAGGTCCATTAAGACTGATAGTCTTACAGCCAGAGTGCTCTAAAGAAATGGTTCTCAACCAAGGTTGTGTGTACACCTGGGGTACATCAACTCATCTAGAAACTTGCCTGGTTTTACAAGAGGCTAAATAAAAAGCACACACGAAGTCAGTACAAACTAAAATTTCATATAGACAATGACTCGTTTATACTGCTCTATATACTACACAATAAAATGTAAGTACAATATATTCCAATTTATTTATTTTATAATTATATGGTAAAAATGAGACAGTAAGCAATTTTTCAGTAATAGTATGCTGCAACACTTGCTTACAAAATCAGACATTAAAATACAAGTAGTTTAAATGAGGTGAAATTTGGAGGTACTCACAACAAATCAGACTTCTGAAAGGGGTACAGTAGTCTGGAAAGGTTGAGAACCACTGCTCTAGAGCTCATTTTCTTCTGACTCTCAAGGAAGGAATCAACTCATAAATAGATAATATAAACTGAACAATGCCATCTTTTGAGCGGGATTGTCCTATACAACTATCTCTAACTCCTGTTTTATAAAGAGGCTGGTGACTTAAATTTAAAATTTAAGTTAAAAATCTAGTTAAGTAAAAGATACTTTAAAATACAACATTACACCCTCCTTGGATACTTCCCACAGAACTAGCTAAAGCTTACGCTTCAGGGTATGTGCCCCACCGCCCTAAAGAACGACATAGCCCGTATATTGCATGAGGTAATTTTATTAACCCATAACACAAAGTGACTTAACTGAATAATACTATTATAGTAAAATATTTAATCATATTCCTCTTTGAAAGCTATAACTTACTCTTGGCTTTAATCAGAAAGGTGGGTCATTAGTTTGTTGTGGCCCTCTAAACGCAGGATCTCTATCACCATTTCACAGCTCTTCCCTCAAGAGAATTCTTAACATTAATTGGTTATTTTATTAGCTAGTTTGTGCTGGAATGCTTAAAGTATCCTATTCTGTAGTACAGAAGCTTCTTTGAGAGCAAGCTCCTTTCCTATTTTAAATGGTCTTGATTCTGCAGAGGGAATGGAAATTTTATGACCTTCCTTCAGTCAGCGTTTAAAGTAACTTTATTTCAGTAGTCTGTGTTCTAACCTTGGCTTATAGATACTCAATTACAAATGTAACACTAAAATCAGCGTACAGTTAGACATACTGAAGAGCAGCCATGGCTCTAATTTCAGCTACAGAGGGATACTTCTTTGTTTGAAATACAGTTTAGAATGCATAATTCTTATCCATTAGTGAATCTGATTTGATGTCGTCATAACTTTACTATGTGATTGTGTAATTATATAAATCACATTCTTGAACTTGTATGCATTAAATTATGATCTGCAAATAACTCATTTTAGATTGGGATTTTCACAGGAAAATAAGAGATACCCAAAACCCATTAAAATTCAATGGGAGTTGGACACCAAACTCAAAGATGTTCCTGTGAAAATCCCAGCCTCAGTGTTTATATTTCATCTTAAATCACTCAAAGCTGTTGGAATATTTTGAATAGTTGCCACCCATATCTATTTCACAATAAATTACAGGTGTCTTGTTAGAACAAAATGTTTATTTTTCCTATTAGCTGTTGGTTAATCCATTGAAACAAGCTGCATGTCAGAAAACAAACATTCACTTATTTGATTAAAAGAGGTAGGTGTTTTGATTCAAAGTGCACATGGTTCAATCAACCTTGTAGTTACAAGAAGCTTTAGTAGTCCTGATTCATAGAATCAAGGCAGCATTTTTTTTCTTTTTAAAAAGGGTGTGCTTACAATATGGCCACTATACTCCTACAACTAGGGCCTACGGTTGCCATTTCGTTTAACACAAAGGTCTGACACTTTTGGAAACTACGAACTCCAGCATGCACTACCCTAGTGCTGTACTGTGATCAAACATAGCTTTCCTACTTTTGCTATCAAGGAAGAATGCAATCTTAGCATAATTGCATTAATCAATATGTAGCAGTGATTAGACTATGTATGCTTCACAGGCTCCACCGCTCAGTTACAAGTACAGCTCTATAGGCCTGTATTGAGGCACCCTTGTTTAAAATAAAGACAATTACATATTTCTGATTTTCATTTTACATAGCTAAAAATAAATCTATCCTTGCATCATTCCATATCTGACTGAAAATGCAGTAAGTCTCTTATACACTGCTTCCAGGAGTAAGAGAGAGAATACAATTATTCCACAGATTAAGCTGAATGCCCAACGAGGTCCCAAGTGAGTATATATTTGGCTCACAAACACTGGGCCCAGTATACGTGCTCCACTTCCAGAGGCAGTTAACCAGCCCATGTAGACACCCTGAAAAGGATCAAAGAACTGTGGTTAAGTAACAGAAAAAAAATTGATTTCATTTTCTTCGGTTACTCTAATTACAATAGAAAATGTATATAAGATCAGGAAAAGACACTGCTCATTTTTCTGGACTGTTGGTCTATGAACATTACTTGTTTTTTTTTAAGCAATAAAAGATAAGCAGTCATAATCAGATGCTTAGAGAGATATACAATAAAGAGACAAGTTCCTGTTGAAAAATCTATTTTATAACAAGATGCAACAGATGGATGAGAAAAAACAAGAGAAGGTGGAGATAAAGGAAGCAAGTTACTTATATTAAGCAGTGATCTCAGCTTACCACCTGATTAGCCATTGTAAGCTACTAGTGCTTTATAGGCATTGTGGCAGAAATGAAGCTAAAGGAGGGAACTGAATAAATTGCAGCTATCTAAATCTACCCCTTTTGATAGCATGGACATATATTCACGTTCATATTTATTCTTTATATTGCTTCACTGATGTGAATGATGTTCCCCAGCACTAATGATTAACATCTAATTTAGATATAACAATGTCATACTCCAAAATAATCATGAAAATTACAGGAAAGTCTTGGGATCGATAGATTGAAGTTCTCGCCTTATAGTGTAATATTTTTTTCTTTTTCATGAAGGGACTTGTATTAAACTTTAAAAACAGTTAAGATCACTGGAGACTTCTCTATTGTTGCAGAATACCTTTGTTGTTGGCAAAAGCAGCAAATTTAACCAATTCTTCCTACAGCTATGGCTGCAGAAGTGAAAAGTAGCCACCTCCCTCAGTGTTAAGGAAAATATCCAAATAGTTATTACTGCCATAGTGCAATTAAAACAATCAGATTTTTTAAAAAATTAGATGTCCTGAATACAAGACAACTCTGACTACCAATCCTGGGCAGTAAAAATGAACTGAGGGGGGTCTGGGGCGACTCTGCCCTTTAAGCCACCATGCAGCAGCATTGAACCGTTCAGGATACACGTCGCCCTGACAGGTACTGCTCCGGGAAAAATCTGACTGGTGCACAGGGCACGTACACACCTGAAGTGGAATGGACATGTGCAATCACTCGAAGAAGAACCGAAAACATCAAACCTGCCGAACTCAATTGTCTTATTAAAAACACAACTATCATTCTGTCTCCTATCCTTCCTCCCATTCCTAGACAAAACTGTTGAATACCATGTGGCACCTGGTGACTTCACAATTTTCAGACCAGGATATTTAAAATTAATCTTTCAAGTGGAAGCACAAGTGTAGAAAGCCAATTGCTACTTTTGCATCTTTGCTAGTGTTTTGAAGTGGCCCAATTGCATGAAGGAAACCTAATAAGTGTGACTTCACATACCTGTACCTTTGGAAGCTAGACCCAATGTGTTAATTAGATGTGTGTGGAGACAGAAAAAAACCCAATATTCTATATCTAGCTCTCCATAATGCTATTTTCTATGCCTTAAGAGCAAATGAAGCTTTAGTTCCATTAGTAAAATATGTTTGATATACTGAAGTAAATAACATACATTTAGGAACACAAAAAGGAAGGTCCTATTTACAAGATGTGGCACTATATCGTGGAAACCAGTAATTCTGTAAAGAGCTTAGGGGCCATGGTGGATAACTGCTAAACATGAGCTCATAGTCTGATGCTGTGGCTAAAGTGAGCTTACAAGATTCTCAGATGCATAACCAATACAGCATTTGCAATACCACTACTGGAATAATGTATCCAATTCTGGTATCCACATTTCAAAAAAGGATGTTGAAAAATTGAAGAGGGCTCAGAGGAGACCCACAAGAATTATTAGAGGACAGGAAACCCTGACTTACAGTAAAAGATTTAAGAAATTTGATTTATTTAGCTAAACAAAGAGACGGTTAAGAGGTGACTTGTTCACAGTCTATAAATACCTACATGGGGAGAAGATTTCTGACCAGGGAAGGCTCTTTAATCTAGCAGACAAAGGCATAACAAGATCTAATGTCTGGAAGCTGAAACTAGATAAATACAGAGCAGTTTTTTTAACAGTGAAGATAATTAATCACAGGAACAGCTTATCTAGGGAGCTGTTGGATTGTCCATCACTTACTACCTACTATAATCTTAGGATCCCTAGCTATGGACATGGATCCCACTGTGCTAGATGCTGTACAAACAAGACTGATGCTATTTTTAAAAAAATATGCTCTAGTTCAACCACAAGATAAGGGTCTGGTGCAGGAATTATTGGGTGAAGTTCAGCATCCTGGGATATGCAAGTTAGATCAACTGATCATTCTGGTCTATGAATCAAACAATTTTCTTTCCCAACTTTTCTTTAAAAAAAAGTTACTTTCAGCAGATGTTTTAAATGGATGTGTTGTGTGTTAATAAAGAGCATTCAAAAGTAGAAAAAGTCATGCACATTCATTGTTTTCAAATGTCTAACAAACAAGAGGATTCATCCCATAACCAACAAAGCAGTTTTGATCGAAAGACCAATGGAACGAACTATGCCATCAAGTATACATGTTACAGTAATAGCAAAATCTGAACAAATTCCCTAGTTTTCATTCTTACCTGAGGTTTCGGTCCTAGAATTTTTGAGTATAAAGTATAGGACATGACATTACAGACTGGATAGCCCAATCCTATCAGTATATCAGAGGTTATATACTGGGCCAAGTGGATCAATGGAGTGTACAGGCACCAGGGCTGCACAACAGAGCATCCTGTTGGCTCTACTGTGTGATTGGATGGTAGTTGTGTTGTTTGGAGCTTCCAGAAAGGTGTAAACATTTCATTGAAGATGATTCTGGGAATGGAATTATTCTTTATATCTGTGAAATTAAGCAAGGGATCCCATTTAAAAAAAGATGTTAATGAAATGCTTAGACTACAGTTTAGCGTTATTTATAATTATACCTTCCCACTGGATATTTGGTAATTGTTTTCCCCAAGGTAACAAGATAAAGAATCCAACCAAGATAATCAGTAGGCCTCCATAGAGTATAGCACGCTCACCAGTCCTGTTGAATAATGAAAACTATAACTAAATAATACATATTCATGACCGAATGTATCTAAAAATAATCTACTATACACAAATACAAATCCTGTACAATTTATTCATATGACTAGTCCCAATGACTTAAGAAGAACTATTTGGTTGAAAGAATTTGGCATAATTACTTTAGTCTAGAGAAGAGAAGATCGAGGGGAGACACAACAGTTTTCAAATATGTAAAAGGTTTTTCTAAAAAGGACAGTGATCAATTGCTCTTCATATCCACCAGGAGCAGGACACAAAGTAACCTGCTCAGTTTGCAGCAAGGGAGATTTAGGTTAGATATGAGGAAAAACTTTTTAACTATGAGGATAGTTAAGCACTGGAACAAGTTATCTAGGGAGGTTGTGGAATCCCAGTTCTTTGAGGTGTTTATGAACAAGTTAGACAAACACCTATCAGGGATGGTCTAGGTATACTTAATCCTACCACAGGGCAGGGGGCTAGAATAGGTGATCTCTAGAGGTCTCCTTGTAGCTCCTACATTTCTATCATTTGCTAAAATAAGATGAGCAGAATTTGATTCAGATAATGAAGACCTGACCTAAAATTCCCCAGACTTTCGTGAAGATAAACATTTTCCTGTCTGTTTACATTAAGATAAACAAGAGCAAAAACCTGATGAGTGACTTACTTCTTAGAAACTACTTTAACCACCATGAAGACAATGACGGATTCAATGCCAATTGCACCAAGGATTATTCCATTATAAAAAACTGCTTCTTTCCTGGTCCAGGAATACATATCCATTGTCAATGGAGTAGCTATGCTAGGCAGTAAAAAATAGGAGAGACATTAATAAAACCTGTACAAAGGTTATCCCAGAACAGCATCATCCATATATTTATTCTCTATAGTATCAGATATGGTCATACAGAAGCCTTCCCTCCTGACAAACAGACAAGAACATGTACGCTGTTTATAACATCATTTTGTGATGCATCACTTACAACAAATCCTCTGGGCTTGACTTTCCATTCCATTATACCAATTCTACACTGATGTAACATGAATTATTTCAATGGATTCATGGTGGTGTACAACTAATACAATGGAAAGGAAAAATCTGGTCCTTTGCATGTAAAAGATAAATATATAAGGCTGAATAGTACCTTATTTATGGTGTTCAAGGTTTAGCTATACAGCTGTAGTTACTGTTAATGGGATATGTGCATTTGTTTCCTTTCACAAAGCAAAGAAAATTTGGCCATTATGTTGTAGTCACCAGCCCCTTGCCACTGGGGTAAAACAAATGTTCACTTACTAAAATCCCTCCATTCATTTCTTCTCCTTCCCTTCCCTCTATTCCACCAAATGATCTTCAATCTAACAAGAAAGGCTGGACACTATTGCCATCAAAATTATGCTTTGCAATTCTGTTTCCATATAGCACTCCCAGCCTTTGCCAGTGAAAAAAGCAAACTTAAGATCCATCAGAGTTCTACTGCATGCAGCCACATATGTTCATTAAAAAAAAAAAAAAATCACTCAGATGTAATTTACCATTGTATACAGGAAAAACTGCTACACTTTGTCAAACTGAAGTCTGAACCGAGATGTTTTGTAAATATCAAATACATTTTTATAAGACATACTCAGTAGGGAACAGAAACTTCAAATATGTGATATTATAGCTCAAAATTCTGCACACAAGCTTATCCTTTCAAAATTATGTCAGTTTACCCATTTTAATGTACAAGAGTCACCCTAAACAGATGTACATTACATTTTCTTATTTTCCTTCATTCATCTATGAAATCCCCCTATTATTGTTAAGCACTGACTTGTCCTTTTTCAAGTTTAGGTTTATACACTGCAGTCACATCTCAACATAGCTAGATACTTTAATCCTAAAGGATACCAAAGTACTTTGCAAACTGCACCTATATATAAGAATCGCTTCAACCACTATTGAAATAAGTCTGAAGTGGAATGCCCTAGCCATTTACAAATGCACTACAGGGCTACACAATTTTTAGGACAGGAGGTAAAGGACAATGTATCCAACTGAAAATATTATTTCCCTTGCAGAGATTTGGTAGATAGAATTAAATTACCTCTATTGAAATCTGATGTGACATTGGGGTTTACATCTCAACTCGTGTGAGGAGCACAATGAAATCTTCAATAGCCACAAATGTTCAGCAATTTGGGTTTACATTTCATTCAAAAGTTTAAATATAACTGTTCCTTATATAAAAGTACTACACAGTGATACTCCGTGTTAAATTGATGTGCCACACTAAATGGAAAATATCATACAACTCAATTTTAATTATGGCTTGTTTTTGATGACGTGGGATAATGCTTACTTATATTTGCGAAACATTCAGTTATGGTAATGAGTGTAACAGAAAAGCCTATGAGTACTTTATGTCTTCAAAGAACTTTACAAACATTAATTAACGAGTAACAGGAGAAAACTGGTAGACTTACGTTTCAAAGACAGCAAAAACAAACAAGATGACAAAAAAAAGAATGTTGGTTGCTACAACAGCAACCTGGTCAATGTTCCCTTGGGCATCCTGATCCACATAATCACTTTCTGTAAAGAAACATAAGAATGAACTAAATTGCAAAATTAAGAAGTTTTACAATTCAATTAATGAGCTCTAATGTTACTCTGCGGCTACAGGTATTAATAATATTATGCATAATGTACAATTGTGACAGAATGCAGGATGCAAACAGGAGAGCCTGCACTCTGATCATTCAGTTATTACTTAGTTCCTCTTGAGGAAGCTGATGGGGGTAATTAGTCAATCAGGCTGGCTGGTTGGATGGTATAAGGAGCCAATTACCCCATCAGCCCAAGGCTGATAAAGAGACAGGAAGGAAATGCCAAGAGAGGAGAGGGAGGAACAGGGCTAGCTGAGCCTAGCCACACAGAGGTGGGAGACCTCCATGCCCCTCAGGCGCTGGTGAGAGGGCCAAAAGCTAGGTTAACATTGTAAATACATTGTTGCACAGGGACTCTTGTGAAAAGGATGGAGGGAACTCAAAATAAAGGACACTGTGATGACACAACCATGGGAGGCTGTGCAGTTTCTGCAGGAAGAAGGCAGGAGAGGAGCCACATCCCATGACATGAATCTTTCTGGGTTTGGGTATAGACATTTTTTGGGAGTAAATTATTTTATTTATTTATTTTTTTAAAAAAAGAAGCATTTACATTTCAATTCCCCTTGACTTACATTAAAAAAATTGGCTCTGGCTAAGAGTGAGCATGATTTGAATGATGGTGGAAAGAGTATTCACCATTTCCTGGAAAATATGTAAATTACTGTTGATTTCTCCTTATTTGTGAGGGACAAACATTAAGTAATCCTGGAAAATATTGAAGATCACACTAAATAGAGAATCTGTTTCTTAATCAGCTTCTCCATAGCTCTAGATCCCACAGATGAATTCCCAAGCAACAAAGGACCCCAGCAACATCCTCCACAATAAATTTTCAACATGGCAGAAATGGTAAATTTCAAAGATTTTTGTTTAAATTTGATAAAAACTGATTTTCAGATTGTTTGCAATGATCTGTTATAACTTAATATAGAAAACTATAATACACCTCTACCCCGATATAACGTGATCCAATATAACACAAATTTTGGATATAACACGGTAAAGCAGCGCTCCGGGGGGGCAGGGCTGCACGCTCCGGCGGATCAAAGCAAGTTCAATATAACGCGGTTTCACCTATAATGCGGTAAAATTTTTTGGCTCCCGAGGACAGCGTTATATCGGGGTAGAGGTGTATATGGCACTGAAATAGTTAGATTACCAATATAATGTTTCCTTTTAAAAGGGGGTTTATGATTAGCTGTAATTTTTCCTAAGACAGTATAAACCCTATCCAAGTGAATGGGATGTGCACACCATTTTAAAAAATTTAACTTTGCACAAAAGGGTACACAAATGCTGTATGGTACATATTGTAGGGTAGGTAGGAGCGGCACCTTGTGCAGCAAGAACTGTTTGTGAATTGGTTACCAATGTAACATATATATATTACCTCTAATTTAAACCTAGACTTGTGTAACATAGATTTTAATAGGACTCTGTAAATTACGGATCATACACCGTAAAACTGCACAATATTACACAAAATTATGTATACAAATGGTGGCTGGTTATAGCTGATAAGAGTATCATTATGTGATCAGTTGGAACAAGGAGTTCAATCTCCATGTCAATTTAATCGTTGGTCTCCGCTGAGATTGTCAGAAGGTGACAAATTTAGAAGGAACTGTAGTGATCATTAGCTCATCCCACATATACTATCACCAAAACGTCTCGATGGTAATAACTGTTTCATTACCAACTTGGGCCAGATTTCAATCTGGAGACAGACAGTTCTATATCCCATTACTAATTCTGAGTTGTTCAATCCACCACCCTCTGTAATATTTGTAAATTAAGGGTTGACTGATAAAAAAAAAAAAACACTTTATATACAATATGATAGTAAACTAAAGTATCACAGAATGTGTCAGTTTTCAAAGAAAAATATTACCTTCTGCTTCAAAATTGATGCTTTTGTACAGTCTTCCCATGTCATCCACTTGATGTTCTCTAAAGATTGAAAATTGTTCTCATTAGCACAGTTTACCCAATTCATTTCTTTTGTACCAAGCCACAGTTACATTTCTAATAATAAATAATTGGTACCATCTTGTATCTTAACCAGTCTTCACACTTTTAAACACTATGTGCAAACCTTAAGATTTCACTGTATTCAATACCAGTCTGGATACCACCTAAGCCCATTTATAGATGATCCTCTATGAAGCTAATGTGGCACTCATTTTTTTGTCCCATCTATTCAAGATGTATTTAAAAACAGAATCTGAAAGTATAAAGCCACCAAATTAAAAAAAAAAAAAAAAAAACCTAGCAAAATTTGGATTTAAGGCCCCAATTCAGGAAAGCATCCCTATTCATGAATTTTTTTTAAGTGTGTGCTTAACTGCTTTCATGAATCAGGGCCTGAGACTGGCCCAACATATTTGAGTCCACATTGCTGTGCCTTGGTACTGTAGAACATAGGATCCTTTCTCAGGGGTGCACAATACAGTAATTTCAAATATTGGTTCTGTTCAGCTAAAATTCTGTGTGGCTTTCTATGATGGGAATGGCTCTACAAATTCACACATATTGGCTGTGAAATGGGATAACCTATTCAAGTTAGCACATATGCACCAAAATGGTAACATACAAAATAAAGTGAGCTCTGCAGCAGGGAGGTATACACATAGGAATGTAAATGAGTTTCCTGCATGCCGCATATCAATAACTCCGTATGCTGAGTCCAATCCTCTCCCTCTGCTGTGGCTACCCAAGCTACTGAAAAGTCTTATAGCACTAAGCCTGGAATAACTCTCCAGCACAACAACATGTGGTGAGGACCAACTATCCATACATATCTGGAAGAAGAAGGGAGCAGGGAACCTTCTGATTCCATTGGAGTTGCTACTCTGCTGAATGCACCCTAATCTCAAATATTCAGGTGGTACAGACCACCTGAACAGAAAACTACAGGAGGCCTCCCTCTCGATCAGCTGTATCTTCAGAATGAGGGGGTAAGTAATCTTTGGGGCCCATGGAATCTCTTCATGTCTCTTGCTGGGCTTTTTTCCAGAAATGATAGCCACAAAGATATGCTTTAGGTCACATGGCCCTTTTACATTTATTCCCCGAGTAAAAGCTAAGCAAAGATTCCAAAAAGCAGCTACAGCATGGGACTAGGGATTTTCCTGAATTGGGGCCCTAGTGAAGAACTCCGCCTACTTCAGAAGCTTCACGAGCCAAATTGCTTTACAGGGCAATGAGACTGGATGGACTTCAACTCCATCTCTGGAAAGGGGGTAAGTTTTGCTGGAAACATGACAAATACATGTCTCAATTATTCGTTCATTGTCAAAGTGTGCAGAGCACCATGGAATACATAAAAATAAAGACAGTCCCTGCCCCAAAGAGTTTGCAATCTTTCTGTCTGTCTCCTAGATTATAAAGTCTTTGCAGGTCGGCAGCTATGGAGGTTAATATGAACTGGGCAGAGCCCTATATGCGTTTCAAATTCTATATACTAGGTATCAGGGCTGAATTACTGACACTAGCGTCCATAACATTTTGCTTTTATTGGTTTGTATCTCAGCCATACATCACTAAGCTTTGTTTACTAAAAAGTGAGGATGCATGAGTCACAGAAGCTAGCCACTTTGAATAATACAAGGCTTTATATTTTTAATGTAAGTGCTCAAGATGTAAATATTATTATTCTAGTTCTTTAAAACAGTGGTCATATTATCGCTATGTTCTTTTGAAAATTCTATCCTTTACCCTTATAATTTCAGTGAATTTTATTTTGATAAGTAGCCAAAGATAAATTTCAACAGAAGTGGAAGTATCCATAACGAACTATCCACAATATTCAAACAAGAAAATGTTTTAGTTTCTATTTAATTACCTGAATATAGCAAAGATTAGAATAATATTAATAACTCCTAGGATAGCTCCCAGTAGAACTGGTGCTGTGAACATGTTCACCTGGAGATCAATGATTTCCCATGTCACTCCTTTTTCTCCAATCAGAGAGAAGCAAGTCTGAAAAACTTAAGATAAAAAAATTACCTCAGGAAATTCAAACATTAAAATTATTAATGCATTATCTTTGGGGAATCCAGTGCACAGTCATCTGATGGATACCAATGGGATCCTAACTATCTGGAAATACATGCAGCTTGTAGAACATGCAATCCCCAGAAAGCCCTATGAATATACTCAACAAACAGCAGTGTGACACTAAGAACAAGTCAGTCAGCTGCACAAGGCCAAGAAAGGAAAATTATCTAGCTCCACACCTACCATCTAACTTGTGATTCTCTATAGTTGAACTGGATGTGCTAACTCCATCTACCCATCTATAGGAATGTCCTAGCATGGGATGGGGGTATCCCTTCTGCTAGCCCCAACAGAAGGGAAACAGACCAAAAAAAAATTAAACACTAAACAGGTCATGAGTGGGAGCAAGAGTGTGTGAATATATGTAAGAGCTCCTTCCCTGCCTAGCCTATGATCATCAGGAACTTGGCTGAGTGCCTATCAAAATGGAGAATGGGAAGGAAGAATGCACCCTGTATGCGAGTCATTTAGGGAGACTGCCTCTCTGGTTGTGTAGCCTCTTTAATGCTACTTCCAGGGTTGATTGACAGCCAGCCCCCCACAGAAAACTCTCACCCCCTGAGATATAAGGAGATATACTAAACATGCTCAACAGCCATAATTTCCTATGGTAATTGGGCAAGGTGGAGCCTTTAGCTACCTATGGAATGAGGTCAGGCTTGCACAGGCACTCAATGCCAAACTCTCATCACCCTAAATAAGGTACAGCTAGTTTGCAGAGTCTTTATGGGCCAGTAGCTGCTGAAGCATTGTGGAGATGCCTTTTTTTGTTTGTTTGTTTCATTTTCTGAACACCATCAACTGATTAGCAATGGAAGTAACAGTCCAAACCTACTTTGTTAATCCAGTTACACCTGGTAAATTGCCACCAAAATTACAGTGAACAGAACTGTACTCATAAACAATTAGACTTTTTTGGAGGTAATATCTGCATAATGAATAAACCACAGCAGTATGTTAACGTATTCAGTTTAATATGATGACAAAACATGCTCATTTTTGTGCAAACTGCTGCTAAGGAGATTCCCAGCCCCAAACTTAATGTCTGATTTTCTCCTAAATAACAAAAGGAGTGTGATTTGTTTTGGAGGGATGAGGAAATAAGAGATGTTGTACCTGGTCCTAGTATGAATCCTGTTGCTTGACAAGCACTGGTGTTGGCCATGGCACTAGTTCTTTCTGTAAGAGAAGTGGCACCAGCAATGTATGATCGAACTACTGCTACATTTCCTAAAAAAGATCAAAATGATACATTTAAATCTCCAGTCACAGTTAGTTCAATTCTCCCCCCCCCCCATACACCAAACAAGCACTTTGTTAATGGTACATGTTTCCCTATTATATGCACACAAGAAAGTATATAATTTTGCAGGTCTGTACACAGTGTTAGCTAACTACTTGGGTTAATCATTTGGGAAGATATTATTTGCCTAATAAATTATTTTGCTTAACATAACCATAAAGCTTGTCCTCTCTTAAGTAAGACACAAAATAAATTCATTAATCTTCAGCAGTTTAAATTCTGCTGCAATTACCTGCTCCAAACCCCACAAGGGCACGAGCAACCAGCATATAGTATTTGTTGTGTGAAGTAGGCAAATGGACATAGGCATAAAGGCAGTTAGCAGCCACAGAAATGGCAATTGAAACAACAAGTGGTTCTCTTCTTGGCCTGTAATTGGACCATAAACCAAACAGAGGTGAGGCTATCATTTGTCCAAGACTGTATGAAGAAATAATCCATCCCAAGAAACTTGCATCTGCTGTCAGATCAATCTGCAGAAACAAGTAAAGTGATTTTAAAAATTACAGTGTGCTCTTCATCATATCAACAAAAACAATTTTGGAATCAGTACCCTACAACATGTAAGATTCTGTGCTATACCTCTAAAGTGCAGAGCTTACAGCGGAGGGTCAGAAGGCACTAATGCAGCTTTAAGCCATCTTTGCACCTTTCTGAACCTGAAATGCTCCAGAGGCTAGAGAGACCCCCTGCATAACTTTCACTGAGGGCCTGTCACAGCAGTCTCCCCACACTGCCATCATGATCCTCCCACCCATAGCATGCCCTCTCTGCTGGAGATTATGGGGGGCAGGGTGTCTTTGGAAGGCAGTTGTCCCACAGTTCCTGCACCAGGGGACTTCTACGATGGCCGAAATCAGGCTTTTATGGGTCCCTTTACACCACTCCAGCCCTTTTACATGATGTAAAGAGACTGGAGCGAGGATGAGGCTCTCCCTCATCAATGCAAAAAAGATTGTAGTATAATAGTCCTTGACACATAGGGATTTTTATCTTCAAAGTTCTGTAGAAATGTTATTTTTTTAAGTCTGGACAACTTGTCCAACATACAAATAAATAGGATTCATATAGTATGTTTACAGCTTCGTTAAAAGTCCTTTTGGGGAAAACAAATTATCTAAAATATCTACAGTTTTCTACCAATTTACAATAAAACTTGAAGCGAAGTAAGATTGGGAAACCTAATGTTTAAGGATTGACAACATGAACCATTATTAACTGGTAAATTAAAGGACAGATTTTATGTGGAGTGTTAAAAATTCTCAGAGGCTAGGAGAGTGAATTTTCAGTCTAGTCATACACTTCCACTTATTGACTTAGTACAACTGTTTTGGTTTTATTGTTAGAATTTCTTATAAAGTGTAATGTTTTCTACTGTACACTCTATAAGCAGACCTCATGTCTCTCTCTGTCTGTATAGTGCTTAGCACAATGGGATCTGAATGGAACCTACTTCAATAAAGTTAACGAAAAATACCTATCCCCAAATATCCTGATTTTATTCAAATACTGTTTAAAACTGCAAGATATTCACGTTTACATCTACATATTGCTTTGACAGTCTTTTCTAAATAAATACAGTACTGCAAATTTAATTAAAAGTACAAAAAAATCAACATGCTACATGGTAGTGGAAATTACTACCGTGGAAATAAGGATCAATCATTAAAAATAGCAATACAGTATTCCTACGTTAAAGTGTGATTAAAGTGTGAAACAGAAAACTAATTACTGAAAATGTAATAGTTTAAACTATTAGGGGAGTTTAGATAAATAAGTCCCTGGTCCACCAACGAGATCTATTCCTGTACAGAGCTTGTTGAAGGATTGGGCCTTAAACTGTAAAGTCCCTATATACCACAATAAAGCTCTAACAGTGATTTTACGTTCTAATAAAGCAGAAAATAAAATCATCATTAATCATCATCATTAAAATTTACAAACCTTTTGCAGATATGGCCATACTGACATAATTACAATTGAAAAACCTGTGATGTATTAAAAAAATAAAAACAAGAAAACAGAATTGGAGTTACTTTACATTGCTACATGTAATCATTAATCAAGTACTGTAAAACGGATATTATGGGGCTGATTCTTCTGCTTTTTAAAAATACTGTATTCTCAAACTGAAGCTCCACATGGCAACCAAAAGTACAATGGTTGCCATGCTGGATTAAAGAACAGTAATTGCTTTTCAGTTAGAAGAACTCTTATTTAAAATAAGGGCACCACACTACGTAGATGTGTAAAAAAGTTTAATGCACTGAACACCTAGAGTGTGATCATGGTCCCACTGAAGTCTATATATAGGTGTTTTCCTCAATCCATATTAGGGAATAGAGCTCTCAAAGAAACAGATTTTCTTGGTATCAAAAAATAATTTTACATTTAGATTTAATACTTTCTTCAATCCTTCATCAATCTAAGTACCATCCTAATATCACACTAACCAACACAAAAGTCAAAAATGAGCGGATACCAGAAATCAACTGAATTCACACTTTAATGAGTTTGGCTCTGGGGGTCAAAGAGAAAACTGTTCTGCAGTTAAAGATAATTTTGATATATTGGGGAAACAAAAAGTACTATGATGCCCTAGGAGGAAAAACATCTGCAAGTATATGTATTTTAAAATCCAATATTTGTATTCCAGCATCGCAGAGAAATCCTCATTCTTTAATACTAATGGTTGCTATTTACCCTTCCTTTTAATTCATCAACCTTATTTTCTCTATTCACAAGTAGTCATTGCATTTTTATGATATATAAAAAAAAAATAACTAGTAAGGGAGCAGAAATAGTTTTAATATATAGACTTCTTAGAATTCTCAAATCAAAATAATATATCCATTGTACAAATAGTGTTGAAATTCTGCTGGATGAATATCAAGATTACTTACCTACACTGCTGAGAAACATTGTGAGGTACATAATACGAATGGACCTCCACCTACTCCTATAATGCTGTTGCGTTTCCACAACATCCCCATATCTTGAACAACAATAACAAAAAAAGAAGAAATAATCTCATTTTGTTGTTTAGCTCTTAATGAAGAATTTCTCAGCCTAAAGGACATCGAAAGCATTTTTCACAGGTTACCTCAAATTTTACAAATAGTATATATATTTTGTAGCTTACACTGTTCCTAACCGTTCATTGAAGAATATTAAAACACACATTGAAACAGCAGCATGCACTAAATGGCTTTTCTTTTCTAAAAAGAAATGTTTACCCTATTGTATCATGTTTTATTAATGATTGTTACAATAACAAAGTCACATATAGCTCAGCAATATTATATACCTAATAAATATGTCCTCCAATATTTTCCTCTCTTGGTTGCAGCATTTTGTGGTATGTCTTGCTGAAGTGAAAGACGCATCACCTATCACATAGCACATACTTGCTTTTTGGCCCCCACTTCCCTATTAAACTGTGGTAGCACTGAAGAGAAAAATCAGAATCTGATATGCCTTTCACTCATGCACCACAGGACCCTAAAATAGCAAAAGGACAAATCTATTGGAAAACTGCACTTTTGCCCATGCTGTATTTTTCTTTTACAAGTAAATTCAACCTTCATACAACATGCTAAACTGGAATCAGTGAGACTGATTTATGTTTGCTTATGCCTAGCCTCTGAATCCCGCAAGCCATTCGTGTAGGCAAACTCCTTTGTCTCCACATAGACATAAGGGTTTATTTGCAACAGATTATAGGACTGGGGCCTAAATCATGACAGCTAAACATTCCCTTTCAGTGTTATGAATTTAAAAGAAAAATAAAATGAAATCCTAACAACTGAAAATGACTACAATCAAAAGCGAACCTGACAAGCCTATTTTCGTTATTTCCAGGCTTTGTGAAATGAAAAATGTAAATAAACAACATAACTGGTGAAAAGTTATTTTTTTTTATCATTCCAAGATAAAAGATCTAAAGTACTGTTATAGTTATATGAGCAAGGATTATTTTTATACGATGTATGCTGATAGTATCTCTTGAGGATCTGTTTATTTTTCAGAGGCAATAACAATTCCAATTTCTTCACAGGATTCTTCTGATTAATTCTATTTGTGAGGGACCATCTCTGTTATAGGTACTTTGACCTGATCAACATAGTTTTTGTATTAGTATAGCTTTCACTTGGTGAGGGTTTTTTTCCCTTCTCTTTTGGGGGGGGGGGGGGGGGGTTGGGAGGTGTTTGTTTTTGCATTCACGTGTACAGATAAGTCCTTAGAAGATAACTATTAATCACTTCTGAAGACAAGTGCTTATTTAAGCTTCAGCCTTTTGCTGTGAGGGTGGGGAAAGACGCGTGCCAGGTACCACCCAGATACTGTGATAAAGTGCTGTATAAAATACCTAGATGGACAACCACAGAGAATGAGGGAGTTATGTGTATTATTTTTTCTAAATATCTCAGTTTCCTTGTTTGATATTCTGCCTGACTGTACAGAGTTAAATCAATCAAAGGAGGCTGGTGAGGAGAAAGCAAAGAGGAAACAAAACTCTGATGGAACTAATCCTTAACGGAACAATAGCGGACGCTTTTAATTAGCAATGCCCATACCTGGCTTCATTGACACTAGCAAGAATTACTTTTCTGAGGCCTGAGCCTAGACTTAAAGGGGACACTAAAACCTTACAGATGTTGGCCTAGGGAAGAAGAGTGATTGAGGTGGTTCTCAGCAGCTGCCCAGATGCTGACAAAAACACATAAAAGTAGAGAAAGAATGCATCAAAGTCATCTGCTCCTCCCAACCTAGAGATGGAGGTAACTGGGCTGAATGGAACACTCCAAAGCTTGCAAGGAAACATTAAGGTTTAGATAGGGGAAGTATGCACACAGGCCTCTATTGTTTTTACCCTTTGCTCTGCATGCTACCTACCTTTGAATGAATAAAACAATGCTTTGTTTTGAAGAAGCTATTTTGAGTCACTTTAATCAGCAGCTGCCACAAGCTCCCACGGGAAAAGGGCTTACAGGTGCCAAACCCATCTGTGCCTCTCATGTTAATGCAGTTGGGAAACAAGTGGGCTACCACCCAAACTGCCAGTCGCAGAGTGGTTGGACCACGCGTTCCACCTTTGAGAACCAGGCAGGAAGCCTAAATTTTAGGCCCTACTCAGACCCAAGCCCACCCAGCCCAACCCTTTCCCCACCAAACTTGAGTCAGCACCACCATCACCTCCTCCTGCCCATGGGGTCAGTGTGGTGGTGGTTGTGTGTGCCGGAGGCTGTGCCCCCTGCTCCTACTGTATCTTGCTTGCTGTATGTGCTGTGGGATGAGAAACGCTGTGACTCCTTGGCACACTCACTCTGCTGCACACACTGCACAGTGAGGTGGCAGTAGCAGTCAGAGCAGTGCATGCAACTGTGGCTGTGGAGATCCCATAGGCAGGAGGAGGCATGCCAAACTGACCCTGAATGGGTCTGGTTGTTGCAGTTGACCTTACCTGGACCCCACACTTGTAGTCGGGTCCCATCAAATTTAGGTTGGTTTGCAGGGCTCTATTGAGGAGGACAGACCTAAAAGACTGAAAGGGGTCTAGAGTGCAGCTTGCCCTATAACCATGCCAACAGCTATGACAGATTTTTAAAGATGTGCACAGTATTCTTTGGCATCTTCACTGAGACCAAACCATTTTACAGCAGCCACTAGGTGAGTGCAACTTTCACTCATCACCAACGTGGTGAGCTGGAGGCAAAAGAGGAAGGAAAAAATGGTGATGGGGGCATTCTCCAGTTTCTGCTCATGCAAGTAACCAAAATGAGACACCACCATACAGATGTTGAAAATACAGCTGGGCAGGCTCTGGGAGGTTTACCAGTGGGCTCCACTTTGGTGGTGCTTGAAGAGGCCTTTGGTCTCTGAAAGCTCCTTGACCTTGGCTCCTCCCTGACTGGATCAAATAACCCAGTTGTGGTGTATCCCCCAAATGCTACCCCTACTGGGATATCGGTCGCAGCAAATTGGATCTGTGTGGCTGGCTCATTTCTTCCAGGGAAGGCGAAGTGTAAATCGCTGTCTGTGCGCTGCACTTTATATCACAGTCAGTACCGGGTTTACAATGGCTCCGATGGCGCCAGGCCCACACTTGGAAGGGGCCCACAAAGGGTTAATCCAGCCTGGGCCACAGCCCAGCAATGTGAAGAGTCAGCAACTTCCCAGCACCAGCTGAAACACTCAGCAGCCTGGGGAGCGCAGTGAGCAGGTGCAAAAGGGATTGGTGATGCAGGGTGTACTGGGAGTTGTAGTTTGCACACCGCTGTGTTCGGCTGGGGCCCTGGGACCTGCGCTGCCAGCTGCACTACTAGTCCCAGTATGCCCCGCACCATGCTACCAGCCACCCCAGCTGAAGTGGTCGGAGCAGACCAAAAAGAAACCCCAAGCAAGGAAATGGTCTGCTGCAGGGAGAGGGTTCCTGGCGCTAATCCCGCTGTGCTCCCCTCCCCCTTGGAGCTCCTGGCTCCCCCCACCCCTGAATCTCCCCGACTCTCCTGGGGCAGTGGAGAGCTGGGGGCAGCCTCCTAGCGAATGTGATGCCCGGGGGCTCCTGGGCACTGTCTCGACCCTGCACTTCAGGGTGGGGGTTGGTTGTCTGTGGTCCCTGGGAGCGGGGGGGCGCGGTGACAGTGGGGCTTGTCAGTGCTGGCTGCTGCACCCCCTGCCAGTGGGAATGCCCAGAAACTGCCCCCCTGCACTCCAGGGAGGGGATGGGGCGCGGCGCAGCCCAGTTTTGGGGGAAAGGGGCAGTTGTGGGGCAAGTCAGGGTGCGATGGGGGAGCTGGCTGTGACTCCGTGTGGGGATGTAGGAGAAGCAGGGTGTTAAGGTAGAGGTTGGTGTGACAGGGGGCAGATGGAGGGAGGGGAGAGTCTGGGTTGAAGGTGGGGTTTGGCTCAGTGTCTGTGGGGGTAGTAGAAGAGAGTGAGGTGACAGCTCTGGGGTGAAAGTGTGTGTGGGGGTGTGGGCAATAGCAGGGAGATTGAGGAGAGCCTTTGTTGGGGGTTAGTTGTGTGGGATGGGGACAGTAGGAGGGACGGTGGGGAGAGCCCAGGTGTGAAGATTGGGGTAGGAGTTTGAGGCTGGATTGTGGTAGCCTTTGTGTTAAAGTGTGTGTTTTCTCTCAGTGGCCCTTTCTCCCTGCAAAAGATGGGCACCAGCAATTTTCCTCCCCACACTCTGCCCCAAAGTTTTGTAAACATTATTGTACCAAAGTAGAAAATGCAGCTTTCAAAAAATGTATTTACGAAACATAACTTTGGGTGGAGGAGGAAGTGGTGGGGAGATGCAGGTGCGACACCACTGACTGCTACATCCAGGCTTAATATGGTTCCTATTTCTGCTAATTAAGCACTTGTGTTCAGGGCCCGAAGCAGGAGCTGAGTGCTTAAAGAAAAAAGACAAAACTAACAAACAACCCCCTCCCACACAAACCAAATTCAATGGTATTCTGGGTACACTGATGTTAGCCCAGTGGAGATCTCAGTGTGGCTTCAAATATCTTATTTTGTTATTGAATAAATGTTTTCATCCCCATCCCGGCAATAACACATTTAATGGTGGTGTCACATCCGGCCCACACTTGGAAGGGGCCCATCACAACCACAGTGATGGGAGCCTACAAATATGTTTGGTGCTGGGCCCACAAAAAATTAATCCAGCCCTGATCACAGTATCTGGGCAGTACCTAGCACACGTCTTTCCCCACCCTCACAGCAAAAGGCTGAAGCTTAAATAAGCACTTGCCTCCAGAAGTGATTAACAGGTATCTTCTAAGGACTTATCTGTACACATGAATGGTACTGCTTCAGGTATGCTGAGTTACCACTAATACAGAGACTGTGATACAAAATGCTGCGCACAGACAGCGATTTACACTTCACCTTCCCTGGGAGAAATGAGCCAGCGGCACAGATCCAATTTGCTACGAGGGATATCCCAGTAGGGGTGGCATTTGGGGGATATACCACAACTGGGTTATTTGACGCAGTCAAGAAGGAGCCTAGCAGAGCCCATAGGCTTATTCAAGCTCTACCCAGTGGAGCCCGCTAAGCGAGTTACCCTAGCTGCCGACTCGGGGAATCTCTGCCTCTCACGCGCCCCGCGCCTCTGCCCCAGGGCGGCTGCTGGAGCCTGGCTTTTCGCTGCCACTAAGCGACCCGGGCTTGCTGGGCACAACCGGGCTGAACCAGAGCCCCGGGCGAGGGGCTCCACAGCGCCATGCCCAGCCTCTCGCTGGGGCGCCGGCGGCAGTGCCCGGTGCGGGCTCGCCGGGGCAGTATCACGTGCTGGCGGGTCGGGGTCCCCACTTTACAGCGGGCTGCCGGCGGCTGCAAGGTCAGACGGGCCCGGGAGCCTGTAAAGACAGGTGCGGGCGGCCTACCTGCTCTCGTCATCCCCCTCTGAGCTAAGCAGAGGCTCCTGCCCTTCGGCAGCAAGGGCGGCACCGGCAGGGACCGCGGCCATGTCTGCTACCCAACACAAGCTCCTACCGCGGCCGCCGGCACCAGGCAGGCGGAGGGGGGGGGAAGGAGGAGGAGGAGCCTCCTGCCCATGACGCCAGCTGCTGTTGTTGTTGTTGTTGTTGTTGCCGCTGCTGCCGGCGGTGTCGCTCCGGAGCTGGCTATCCCGAGCCGCCCTCCCGCGCGCCTGACTGTCGCGCATGCGCGCGCACTCCCTTTCCGTTAATGCTGGCGGTCGGGCTGGCGTCACGTGGGACGGTAGGATGCTAGAGAAAGGCGGGGCGCCAATCACGTGTGAGTTTTGATAGTAGCAGCTAGTCTTCTCCCCGGTCCGCTTCATCAGCTGAGCGGCGGAAGGGGCTGGCCGGGTGGTAGCAGCGCCCCGGTAGCGACCTTCAGCCCTTCCCCGCCTCACGCCCCCGAGAGCGGTTGTCCCTTCCCCTATGTGCGGCATCTCTAGCTGGAGGTGGCGGCGGCAGCAGCAGCGGGGAGCCCCCTGCCCGGCTCAGTGAGTGACCCCGGGAAAGTGTCGGGCGGTGGGAGTCTCTGGCCGGTCTCAGGGCCGGGGCCTCTCCGGCCGCAGGCGGGGACTTGCTGCCCGACGCGCCTCCATGAG